TCTTATAAAAGAAAAACTCAAAGCAAGTTCATTCAAGCAATGTCACATTGGTGAATCCCCTGGGGATGATTGTGGCAGTGCTGGGGGAGCAGAGCCAGGGTCTTCTCAGAGAGAGTGGGCTCAACCATGCAAGGACAGCACCAGGACAACTGTCTGCTCCCACTTGATGAAGCCACCTCCTCTTGAGTGAGTGCCTAAACCCTTGCCTCAGTAACTGAGAAACTCAATCGCACCCCTCAGAGGGATGAGTGTGTGGTCCAGCACCACATGCAATGCAACAGCAGCTAACAGAACAGTTGAATGAAACACTGAGCAGACAAGGAAATGAGTTATGAAGGTCTAATTTAATATTTCGGAAATCAATACTGCCTCATGTATATTCATTCAGGTATCAGATTTCCTTAATATTTGGAAGGAAAACTAGGCAAGAATAAACTATGCTCAATCAGAAAATATTTCATTGGGAAGAAAATTCAACACCCCTTAAACAGCTAACAAGAGCTGACTTTAGACCTATCTGCTGAAGCCAAAGAGAGGCATGTAGAGCCCGTGTCTGTCTCCTCAGGGTGTGAGATGGTATGCAGCAGAAATCTAGGCAAAACAAACAATAACAAGACCGGCGTGTACTAGAGGAGGCCTCAGACGCAGGAGGCTAACTCTCTCCCTCCGCCAGGAGGAAACCAAAGCACGACCAGGCGGGGTCCTACCCACAGTGCCCGGCTGTGGCTGACGAAAGGCCTGCACCTCCCTTTCCTGGTTTTAAGCCCCCGCCTCCTAGTCCAGACAGGCAGTGTGCAACCACTCAGCTGCCCACGTCTCCCCTGAGCGGGCAAGTGAACAGGCCCTGTCCAGCTTTTCCCTCAGTCCCAACACTTTAAAGGCCTGGCTGCAACCCTCTTCCACAAATGATGAAGAACGCCATCACGAAACCGAGGCAAAGGTGGCTCCCACTGCGCTGTTTTGTAACATCTGTGTCAGAATTCTCAGATTCTTTGCTTGGCACCCAAACTTCCTGGGGAACGCAGCAGCCTACCAACGGGGAATGCAGTTCTCCTTCTTTCCACTTAAATGTCTGTGGGTTTTAGGATCCCCTAGGAGTAGGATCTTCTGTGGTCACTCCCAGTGACAGGCAGCTTTGTAATGGACTTGGTGACACCGCTTTTACATTACGGCACTTCCCATAGCTTTTACAGTCCTCAAAATGACAGACCCGGTTCAGCACAAAGCTGAAAAACAGGTTACTTCCACTTGCCCCCTTGATATCAATCATTTGGTCTTCTGGGTGGTTTCAAAGGAATAAAAAGCATAACGGCATCTCTGGTCAAGGCATCTGGGTAATCTGGTTGGGCTTCTATTAAACTCCGTTCCTCTCTAGCTGTGATAGTCCCCTTTGCAGGTAAGCTCTACGAGAACCCTCGGGAGGAGGGTGGGGCCTGTGGTTTTCAGTGGCACAGCAAGACCCTGCGGTCAGCACCTGAGCCTGGGAGATGGCTACAGGAGCTCACTGAGGCAACCCTGGGCAGCGCTGGCTTTTCTGAGCTCTGCCACTCCGAGGAAAAGGCTCACAGGGAATACAGGCTTGCATACCTGGCAGACATACGCAGTTAGATTAAGTACATTGGAGTGACAAGAACACTTTCCTCTTTTCCCATTTTCATTTTTTATGGGGAACTTACTGACTCAACTTCTGCTCTCTCCATCAGAGAAAACTTGAGGCTAATAACTGGCGGGGAGGACACACAGGGGCCCCTGGGAAGTACATGACACAGGGACCCGAGGCTGAAGTCCGTTAGGAGTGAAAGTTAAGGCACACATTAAGGGGAAGGAGTTTGTGTGAGTGTCCCAGTGGCCTGGTCATGCCCTCACAGGACACTGGTCTGCAGTTCCCCAATGACAATTCTCTCCTTCTCAAGCCAACACTCTCACCTCCGCAATCTGAGAAGGCTGAACCCTCAGAGTCAAGGTGTGCTGAGAACCAGCAGCCACTCTAAAGACAGGGAGCCATTAATCTCCCTGCCCACAGAGGGAGACCCAAACCTGGTGTTTCACATATGTGCCCCCTTCAGTTTTCATCCTTTGGGCTCACAGCAGGGGAGCAAGGAGTTGAGAGGGAAACACACGAGCGCACGCGCACACACACACACACACACACACACACACCCCTGCCCAGTCCTCTTCCGGCAGCTTGGTGGAAGCCCACCACCACCATGTTTGGCGCGCCCCCTGCTGGTCTGGCAGGGGCTGACGCAACTCTCATTCTGTGGGCAGAAGACTCAGAAAAATGATCTTAAAATCCAGAGGAAAGGGACAGAAACAGGAGGCAGTTTTGGCTTCTCAGAAATGTAAGACACAACACTTCTAAACATAAAAAGGTGAATGGAGAGGCTCTCCAGTAATTTTTTTTAATGTTTTAGGAAATAATTGACTAATACCTGAAGACTTAACGCTTGCATTTGTATTTTCAGACAGTGAATTAAGTACAAAAATTGTGGTGAATATTTTCCCATGTCTACAGGTGATAAAAATGGGCATGTGGGCCAGATAGTTTCAAAGACTCAATTTTCAATAAGTTCACAGTCCAGAGGCCTACAAACCACTCCTCTTATCCCTGAGGTCACTTTAATTATAGAGGAATCTTAACCAACGATTTAAGAGCTCAAGTTCTGAAGCAACCATATGCAGAGCAAAATCATGGAAAAGCGGTGCATTTGGAACAAGTTCTGCTACACCTCACGTAGGCACCACCAGGGGTCAGGGGCCAGCAGTGCACTGACAGCTTGGGGCAAGGGGCTCCTCCCTGCATCTCCATGGCTGGGGCCTCAGAAGTCACTTCTTAAGGGGACACCTGCCACCCAGAAGCCACGCCTGGGTGAGCTTGCACCTGGCAAGCCCTCAGAAAGCAGTGACACCCTCTGTCACCTTGAACATCAAGGGTCCAAAGTAAACCACTGCTTTCACATTTTTTTCTCATACCAATCCAAGATTCAAAATCTTCCCATTTCCAAAACCAGATTCAAACTTTTTCTGTGGCATATATGGTAGTATTAAATTTCTTGCACACCCAATATGAGCACACTAATAATTTAAGGCATCTCTATTTTAACCAATTAGGAGTGGCCATTAATAATTAAGTGCAAAAATGTCAATATGTTGGTCCCTTATTGGATGTACTTTTGACTTAAGGACTGGTTCAGACTGTCTTCAGAACTTGCTTACTTTTGTTCCCCTAAGAGGTGGTGCTAACGGCACAGTCACACGATAAAATGACTAGTGTTGGTGGCATTTAGGGGAGAATTTTCCCAGAACTTGGTGTGCTGAGCAGATTTCCAGCCTCCGCACTCCCGACCCTCCCTGGGTGTTGTAAAGGTCTTGGATTGGGTGGGATACACACAGCTGCCGTGAGGACCCTCCAGGGCCTGGCGCCCCTGCCCCGGCAGCCTTCTCCCAGGCACACCTCGGAAAAGGAGTGATGGAGGCTGAGGAGACCGGCCTGAAGAAGAATCGAGGCCTGCGAGGAATTAGTCCCCACGCTCTCCTTTCCCCGGGCACATCATCTGCCCAATTCAACAGAATATCTTTTTAAACCGTTCCTCTCTCAGCTCACTTTCATTTACAAAGATAAGCAAGCGACACCCAGGTGCTGTCATACGTGACTTTCCCTGGATCTGTGCCATGGACGAAGCCATTACCAGATCCGTGGGGATCTAACAAGTTTCCCTTCAAACGTTCTTGCATCTGTTAATTTCCAAGCCAGTAGACAAAAATAAAACTGCTCTCACTTATGCGAAGATGGTGAGTTTGGAGAGCAGTGACAGACCCGCTTGATGGCAAAGATTCTCCAAGGGCTGCAGTAGCTGCACCAGGGAGGAGGGTACACTTGAGCGGTCGTGTCCAATGAAGGAAAGTTTTAGTTAATGATGACATCACTGACATCTCCCAAATTTAAAGGAACACTTAAAGCACAGCAGATGCAATTTTTCCCCTCCAGTGAGGAGGCACCAGGGAAGGCCTCGGGGTGCACAGCCAAATTGCCTCCACGGGTCCACCGCTGTCCAGCGAGACCCAGCGGGGCAGCGGGAGGGCGGCGGCG